GACACGGATTCTCAAGCCTAGGAAGTTCAATCACACCACTCTCTCCCAAGAGGACACAAAGACGATCCATGCGATGATTCACAACGCCAATATCAATTGGTGTAAATTTGTGATGACTCACATGTTCAACGCCACCTCCGACAACCGGCCGCTCCCCTATGCTCTCCTTGTCATGGCAGTCCTTGATGAGTTCCACATCTAGACGGACGTCGGGCCAAAATGCAAAGGAACAAAGCATTGGGAGATTGACGAGTCTTCCTTCCACCCGGGAACCGATGAAGCTACGTTCCCGCAGCCTCGTCCTCGCCGCCAACCGAGAGCCACTGCCTCGACCGCCGCCGCTTCAACCAACCCTTCTCTTGCCGAGCAAATGGCGGCTTTGACCACCACCCTCTCTCGGATAGACACCAACGTCTCCAAAACGGCACACAACGTCAATATCATGAGCCGTGAGCTTCACGGGTATTTTGACTTTGTCAATTACCCGTACGCTCAAATGGTCCCCTACGTTCCTCCACCGAATTTCGGAGGTGAACAGAGTGGGACTCAAAACGTTGGTAGGGACGACGCGGTGGACGAAGACGAAGAAGATGATGATGATGATGATGATGATGATGATGATGATGATGATGATGATGATGATGGCGATGGTGATGAAGATGATGAAGAAGAAGAAGACATTGACGAAGAACAACTTCTCAATGATCTTTCCCCGGATTTCTAAGAGCTCTTGCTCTACTTTCTTCTCTCCCTTATTTTATCATCTTTTAATATGCTTTCGTTATGTACTACTCTATTTCCCTTCAATAATTAATAAAAATCTTTATGGTTTTTGTTATTAAATCTTTTTGTTAATGTCAAAAAGGGGAAGATAAGGGCTATGCATATATGCATATTTTCAGGGGGAATTTTTTTTCAAAAAGAACAAAACCGTATGCATATCCCCGTTTTGTTTGCCATTATCAAAAAGGGGGAAATTGTTGGAACACACTTTGCACGTTTAACTAAAATCATGTTCATTTCTGACAGGTTTTGATAATTGCCAAACCGCCGTGGATATAAAGAGTTTCGTTGAATAACTCAAGGCGCGAAGAATGGCATGGAACAAGACCCGAAAGACTCAAGGACAAGATCAAGAATTGAAGACTTAGTCGAGTCGGTCTTTTGATCAAAACCGACAATCAATTCAAGTCTCGGTTCTCAAAGAGTCAA